CAGTAATACGCCACTCCCGTGGATCTTACGCGTCACCCGTAGTCTGCCAGTACGCCGAGAGGTCTTCCTTCATTCCATGTGTGGACCGAAGAGGGAATTGACGGAATATTGAGCATCAAGTGCTCCAGGGTCGGGTGCTGTGCAGGTGAAGTCTAGGCAGTATCGTCTGGGACGTCTGATAGCTTCACAGTGACGACGTAGCGGCTGGGCCAATCCACTGGGAAGCAGTGAAAGAAGACACTAATTGGGAATCCGAACGACTGCAGCCGAGACGTAGGCAGGCAGCCGTATTTGGGAGGAGAAGTTGATGGTCGGGAGACCGACTCCAACCCTACAAGACATGGAGGAGGAGCACGAACCCGCAGAGGACAGAACACGGAGACGACGCGTTTATTTTGGGACGTTGATTGGGTTCCTGGAGGACACGACAGGGTGTGTGTGGGGGCGTTCCCTACACGAGGCAGGAGCCTGGTCCAGGAGCTACAACTCAACTCTCACCGGAGGATAGGTGGAAGTAGGTGATTCTAGTTTCCCTCCCAATTCCCCTTTAGTCAGCTATATTATTTAGCCAGAGTATTTTGTATGTCGTGAGCAAGGCTCACCTATGTCACAGTAAGGCACAAGCAGAGTGGGGCTACATAGAGCACTCACGGTATTTATTATTATTATTGGTGTGTGCAGGCACCCGGAGTAATGGATGAATTTACTGTGTTGATAATGTCTTTCATGAGACTTTAATATGATCATTTAGTGAGAGAATATATATATATATAATGTACCAGTATATATTAGGCTATGTAGTATTGATATCTATGATTTATCTATCTAGGCTATATGTATATATATATATATATAAATATATATATATATATATAGATCTATATATATATATATATATATATATATATATATATATATATATATATATAGCGGCTGTCCACAAGGTCTTCTCTGAACACTATTTATTTTCTTCTTCGAGGATGTGGGTCCCTTATAATAACTAGTGGTGGTATATATAATATATATATATATATATATATATATATATATATATATATATATATATATATATATATATATATATATATTATATATATATATATATATATATATATATATATATATATATATATATATATATATATATATATATATATATATATATGTCTATGCTTGTGTATTGAATAACCATTCATGTGTGCAGTGATCAATTGAATATTCGCCCACGAAAGGAATTACTGAGAACTCCAGTAATATATATACTTGCATGCGTTATCATTAAATGGGGTGCAGTGTGTTATACCATGATAGTGAATTATTGTGTTCATTAATATAGAAATGTTTGATTGAGCTCAAGATCAGTGCAGCGGAGTATTTACGTTCTATTGCTATTGATATTGTGTTGTTTGAACATTTAGTGATCCTTGAGAATTTAAAGAAACAGGCGCCTCACGCCAGACAAACAGATAAACGAACATTCGCGCGGTGGGAGTCGCCCAGCTGATTTTGACATTGACGTGAGGGGGAGCATTGCCAGCTTGGCGAGTTCATGATTATTTGTGAGAACGAGCGACTTCCGCATGAAATAGCTGTTTGCTTATTGATATAATTATGTGATGTCTTGAGTTTTAAGTAAAACACAAAATACCTTGGCGTTTGTATTATCCCCTCCATGTTTCTTGTGGCTATATAATACATGAAAGGAAATAGAGTGATAGAAATAAATACCTGCCTGATATCAGATCTATTGAGTGTGTTCTTGCCACTGCTAACACAATTCAACAAAACCACTGACGTGTTACTGGACACGGGAAACACCAGTTGGCGACCTTGTGGTTAGTAGTAGAGCCTAGTGTCGGGGCGGGCACACAGCTGTAAAGAGAACAAGCTGTGTTCTCACTCATTCTCGATCAGAGGCCGGTTGGGATTGACTGGGATACTCTCCTGGCGTACAGTGGCGCCGCGAGGATAGAGTGAAGACCCGCAGGGCTACGGTGAGTGACCTTGGGTATACTGTTACTCGCCCCTCTTACGGTGAACCCCGACAATATATATATATATATATATATATATATATATATATATATATATATATATATGTCGTACCTAGTAGCCAGAACGCACTTCTCAGCCTACTATGCAAGGCCCGATTTGCCTAATAAGCCAAGTTTTCATGAATTAATTGTTTTTCGACTACCTAACCTACCTAACCTAACCTAACCTAACTTTTTCGGCTACCTAACCTAACCTAACCTATAAAGATAGGTTAGGTTAGGTTAGGTAGGGTTGGTTAGGTTCGGTCATATATCTACGTTAATTTTAACTCCAATAAAATAAAATTGACCTCATACATAATGAAATGGGTAGCTTTATCATTTCATAAGAAAAAAATTAAAGAAAATATATTAATTCAGGAAAACTTGGCTTATTAGGCAAATCGGGCCTTGCATAGTAGGCTGAGAAGTGCGTTCTGGCTACTAGGTACGACATATATATATATATATATATATATATATATATATATATATATATATATATATATATATATATATGTCGTACCTAGTAGCCAGAACGCACTTCTCAGCCTACTATGCAAGGCCCGATTTGCCTAATAAGCCGAGTTTTCATGAATTAATGTTTTTTTTCGACTACCTAACCTACCTAACCTAACCTAACCTAACTTTTTCGGCTACCAAACCTAACCTAACCTATAAAGATAGGTTAGGTTAGGTTAGGTAGGGTTGGTTAGGTTCGGTCATATATATCTACGTTAATTTTTACTCCAATAAAAAAAAATTGACCTCTTACATAATGAAATGGGTAGCTTTATCATTTCATAAGAAAAAAATTAGAGATAATATATTATTTCAGGAAAACTTGGCTTATTAGGCAAATCGGGCCTCATCTATCGAATTATCTATCGATGATTTCTGTGTTACCACAGAAATCATCGATAGATACAGCGATAGCAGGCGGCTTGACGTTTGCGAGGCACTACACATCAAGAAGTCAACACCAGCAATCAACAGCCAATTAATGCACAACTATATTCTACCCACCTCAAGACTCCGCTCCAATATAGAAGCATCAAGAAATATGGACCAATAGGCTTTCTACAATCACTTCTATTCAATACTCATTGTTTCGTGTTCTGTCTTGTGTTGATGAAATTATACCCTATTAATACCACCTCTTGTTCTGTCTTGTGTTGATGAAATTAATACCCTATTAATGCCACCCTCACCCATCCACCTCTCTCAAATGAAGATATAAAATCGGAGATGCGTAAGTTCTATTCAGTTGTGTATTTGTAAACTAAAGTCTTTGAAAATGTAATAAGTTTTACGAAACGTGCTCGTGTCGCGTCAGACTAGAAATAAAATGAATTTTGGAGAATTGATTTTTGATTTACCTCCAACAGTGAAAAGAAATGTACGAAAGATTGAGAAAATTCGTGTTAGAATTATTAATCTTACTTTTTCGGTCATATTTAATAATATATGTCTACAGGAGAGACTGCTACCAAAATATACTAATATATATATATATATATATATATATATATATATATATATATATATATATATATATATATATATATATATATATATATTATATATATATATATGTATTTAGGGGTACCACCAACGGTTTAATTAAAGGGACCCACATCCTCGAAGAAGAAAATAAATAGTGTTCAGAGAAGACCTTGTGGATTCTCACTGAATACTTTAATCTTTTCCTCTCCTACCACCCCTAATATTTTTTTTTATTTGATTTTATTGCAATGCTACAGTTTACAGAAAACACACACTTATATAACAATATAACAATATACCAATCAGTGTTCGAAGACCTCGTGCAGCTCCTCGGGGGTCGAGTGCGTACCCAAGACACAGCACGCATTTCCCCTCTGAACAGCGACACTGAGGCGCTGGAACATAAAACTGGCCGCTCTTCATTAGTTTCATTACAACAGATTCATTTCTGACAGATTCATTAGTTTCTTCACAACACCTTCCATTATTACTCTGATAGCACTATCGGAGCTCCAGGTAGCACACTGTGAATTCCTCTAAGTTAGGTTAGACATATTTATGAATGAGTCTGGTTGGATATCAATAGGCCATAAGTGGCCATATTTCCTTGCATTGGCCAATAGGCCTTCGGCATTTTCATTGATTCTTATATTCTAAGCATCGTAAGGATGTTCTATGCACTGCACATTTCCCATGTCAGGTGAGAATGACGGACTCGCCATTGTCCGTGTTGCTTGGAACATTTTGTTCCCAGAAGCTGAAACTAAAATACCATGTAAGCATTGTGGAACACACATAAGTATGAGGCACTCTCCATTAGACGCCTTCTATACCACACACACATTATGAGCCCCGGTTTTGTCCACCACACAAAGAGGCCCCACCACAAACACCCCCAAGATCTACACAGTGAGGCCGTGAGGCCATAACGGCCACAGTGAGGCCATAAGGGTCACAGTGACGCCATAAGGGTCACAGTGAGGCCATAAGTGGTCACAGTGAGGCCATAAGGGTCACAGTGAGGCAACAAGGGTCACAGTGAGGCCATAAGGGTCACAGTGAGGCAACAAGGGTCACAGTGACGCCATAAGAGTCACAGTGAGACCATAAGGCTCACAGTGAGACCATAAGGGCCACAGTGAGACCATAAAGGCCACATTGAGACGATAAGGGCCACAGTGAGGCGTAAGGGCCACAGTGAGACCATAAGGCTCACAGTGAGGCCATAAGGCTCACAGTGGGACCATAAGGGCCACAGTGAGACCATAAAGGCCACATTGAGACGATAAGGGCCACAGTGAGGCGTAAGGGCCACAGTGAGGCGTAAGGGCCACAGTGAGACCATAAGGCTCACAGTAAGACCATAAGGGCCACAGTGAGGCCAGAATGGCCACATTGAGGCCAGAAGGGCCACACCGAGGCTGGGCCAACTCAGCACTAGCGGCACTCAGTAGCACCCACCTGAAGGCGAAGCTTGGCTGAGTGGTAAGTTTGGCGCTCATGATGGGGTTGATGATCTGCTCGGAGGTTCCTCTGCGGACGCAGCCGAAGTCCCGGTTGTCCGTGCACGCCGACCCCAGGTTGAGCTCGTTGTTGAACAGGAAGTGCTCATTAAAACTGTTGGACGTCAGTTCCTGAGAGAGAGTAATGGAATGTGAGGGAGAGTGGTGAAGGGTGAAGAATTGTGGTGGAGGGTGAGAGTTACCTGGACACCATCAGCTGTTACTGTGTTACCTGGACACCATCAGCTGTTACTGTGTTACCTGGACACCATCAGCTGTTACTGTGTTACCTGGACACCATCAGCTGTTACTGTGTTACCTGGACACCATCAGCTGTTACTGTGTTACCTGGACACCATCAGCTGTTACTGTGTTACCTGGACACCATCAGCTGTTACTGGCAGTATCATATGGATGAACTGAATTGTTTACCTGTCAATGATTATCTAAGCATCCTGGGATTAAATTTTAATCCCTCAGAAAACATTAAGAATTACTAACGGAACTCCTACAATCAAGGCAGGCAAAAAACATGTTGCTTAAGAAAGTTAGTAAAGATCTTTCAGATTTCCTTCGTGGTGTTTGTTTCTTAACCAGCTTACTAGTTACGGGCCCTTCTGTGTACACTCAAGTGTTCGTCTTAATCATTTAACTATTTTATTAATTAGTCGGTTTAAAGCACTTTATTAACGAAATTAAGTTACTAAAATCATCATCATTGTAGATGAATTTTTTGCTCGAAACAAGACATTGATTTGTATTATTAAAGTCGTCTCTGATTATTGGTTGATTATTTCTCTTCAATTTTCAGTTCAAGTGATTTTATAAAAGTTTGAGTGTTGATTTAAATTTTCGTTATCAAAGGGGTATATATTACCTCATTCGTCTATATTAAATATATATTCTATATTTATGTTTTCTCGTCTCCGACTCACTGCTGATTCCACTAGTCATTTTAGGTCCCACAAATCTTACCTAGTACGACTTGTCTTGTGTGAGGTATTTCTTTCGTATTTTTGAGTTATCAGCGAATTTTCACATTTTCCTGTAATCCTGTTTTTAGTTCACTCGAATATAATATGAAAATCATGGGGTCTATAACCAATTTTTATTATTATCATTATTGCAAAAATAACTAACCGCACCACTAGAAAGAGAGAGAGAGAGAGAGAGAGAGAGAGAGAGAGAGAGAGAGAGAGAGAGAGAGAGAGAGAGAGAGAGAGAGAGAGAGAGAGAGAGAGAGAGAGAGAGAGAGAGAGAGAGACATAGAGAAAGTAAACATACACAGTCAAGTATAACTCACCGGCTTGATGATCAGAGCAGATTCACGTATGTAGCTGAGACTATGATCGTTTAAGTACATCTGGAACTCCCCCTTCTGGTGGAGACGAAGCATAGACAAATGTCTTATTATCATATCAACACTCATACTGTGGCTTCTTATCATATTTTCACTCATTCTGTGGCTTATTATCATATCAACACTCATACTGTGGCTTCTTATCATATTTTCCCTTATCATATTGTGATTCATAATACTAATTTTCGGAACTGAGGTTCTAAAAATGTAGTTACTCTGCATACCCATATTCACACTATTGTTCTAATATTGCAGCTTATCATATCGTTACTCATTATACCACATCATACTCTTAAACCTATAACTCAAGAGACGTTCACTAAGTATATTGTTAATCAGAACTGGTTTTATCATTGTATTACTCATTACACTCATAAATCTGTATATGCAGTCTGTTCTTCATACAATCGTTCATGATATTGTTATTTATCTGTCACTCATATACATATGATGCTCATAAACATTATATTGCTTCAACTCATATTTTCATTCATTGTTTTCATAATCATCATACAATCACTTGTTAAAATGTTATTCACAATACTGTAATGTATCAAGGCGGAACTTAATACTATTTTCAATAACCATGTCATTGTTACTCAACAAACTATCACATAATATTTGTGACTCAACAAATTATCGCATAATATGTGTGACTCAACAAACTATCATATGGTGTTGATTACTCAACAAACTATCACATAATATTTGTGACTCAACAAACTATCATATAATGTTCATTACTCAACAAACTATCACATAATATTTGTGACTCAACAAACTATCATATGATGTTCATTACTCAACAAACTATCACATAATATCTGTGACTCAACAAACTATCACATAATATTTCTTACTCAGCAAACTATCACATAATATTTCTTTCTCAGCAAACTATCACATAATATTTCTTAACAAACTATCACATAATATTTCTTAACAAACTATCACATAATATTTCTTACTCAACAAACTATCACATAATATTTCTTACTCAACAAACTATCACATAATATCTGTGACTCAACAAACTATCACATAATATCTGTGACTCAACAAACAATCACATAATATTTCTTACTCAACAAACTATCACATAATATTTCTTACTCAACAAACTATCACATAATATCTGTGACTCAACAAACTATCACATAATATCTGTGACTCAACAAACTATCACATAATATTTCTTACTCAACAAACTATCACATAATATTTCTTACTCAGCAAACTATCACATAATATTTCTTACTCAACAAACTATCATTTTATGTTTGTTACTCAACAAACTATCATTTTATGTTTGTTACTCAACAAACTATCACATAATATTTCATACTCAACAAACTATCACATAATATTTGTTACTCATCTTTTTCATCATATTTTAACTTTATATATAATCATTGATCTCATTTCTTTTATTTATTATTTACCAACAAAAAGGTACAATGACTTGCGAAGGTATAGATCTTGGTGACTAAGTGATTCATTCTTGCCAGGCAAGACGTTTCAGAGCAAGACGTAACAGAGAAACAAACTTTTCTCTGTTTGCTGTAAACGTCATTGTACCATTAAAAATAGTTAGATGATAAGTTCGAGCCATGCGGGGGATTCGAACCGGCACCTTGGGTGCTCCTAAGCACATGCCTTTACCTACTGGACCACAACCTGCTACACAAGTAATAAAGGCTGGGATTGAACTGAATCCACGAGGCGTCCCAAGGCATCGACCTGGTACACAATCAAGGTTTCACACAATGCCCTACAACACTCTGGTGGGGTATATGAGTTCCAGCCCTCACTTCATATGTTCCCAGTGTGTAGGTTCGAATCCTCCTCATGGCCTTAACTGATTTTGTCAATGATATATCACCTTAGTGAGATGTCTTGTGCAGTCAAAATACTGTTACTCATCATACTATCTCACACACTTATTCATCACACTATCTCACACACGTATTCATCACACTATCTCACACACCTATTCATCACACTATCTCACACACCTATTCATCACACTATCTCACACACTTATTCATCACACTATCTCACACACCTATTCATCACACTATCTCACACACGTATTCATCACACTATGTCACACACGTATTCATCTTACTATCTCACACACTGTTATAACCACACATACGTCATGTAAACATTGGTGTTAGTGTATGTGGAGGTCATAAACTCACTCACTTATTTTTCGTTAGCTTACTCTTGTCAAAATATTACTGTACAGAATAACAGAAATTTACGTTCATACACACATATATTAAAGGTATGTGTATATGGTGAATAAGTCATAATAACCGGCGACCGCTTAATGCTGGAACTCCTCCATTATCCCCCCCCCCCCCCCCGACCCATGGTGAACTCCTCCATTATCCCCCCCCCCCCGACCCATGGTGAACTCCTCCATTATCCCCCCCCCCCCCCCCCCCCGACCCATGGTGAACTCCTCCATTATCCCCCCCCCCCCCGACCCATGGTGAACTCCTCCATTATCCCCCCCCCCCCGACCCATGGTGAACTCCTCCATTATCCCCCCCCCCCGACCCATGGTGAACTCCTCCATTATCCCCCCCCCCCCCCCGACCCATGGTGAACTCCTCCATTATCCCCCCCCCCGACCCATGGTGAACTCCTCCATTATCCCCCCCCCCCCCCCCGACCCATGGTGAACTCCTCCATTATCCCCCCCCCCCCCGACCCATGGTGAACTCCTCCATTATCCCCCCCCCGACCCATGGTGAACTCCTCCATTATCCCCCCCCCCCGACCCATGGTGAACGTCTCCAGCAAGTGTGCCAACTGTATATAATAATGACTTCCTTATGTGTTCACACATATTGACGTATATGCTTAAGTTCCTTGAGGCTTTGTATAGATATTATATTATATTTTATTAAAAGTTTGTGAGGGTACCACCTCTGGTGCCAATGTGGGGACCCATAGCCTCGGAGAAGAAAATAAAAAGTATTCAGAGGAGACCTTGTGGTTTCTCACTGAACACTAATATTATCCTCTCCTACCACCCCCATTCTTTTGTATGTACACATATATATTTACTTTATTTGAACTTTGTTACAAAAACTCACAAAAAATATTTTATTATATATAGATATATGTATATATATCTATATATTATATATATCTCACAAAAAATATTTTATTATATATATCTATATGGACTTGTTGTAAATATTGTGGAGTGACTTGCCATGTTGGCAACACAGTCACTCTCGGCCGTCCAGGCCGCTGGCACGTCACTACTTCCCTGATTTTCCCAGAGAGGCAGACGTCATACGTCAAGTCCTCTGGTTGTACCTTATATTGTGCATTTATTTCTTAATCTTGAGTGTCCAAGAGTAATGCTATATATATATATTGTCAGGCTAACTGAGTTATCAGTAGGTCAGATAGTAAGTGATTGTGGCTACTTAAGGATTATATAGTATTGTTGTAGAGTTACAGAATGTGACTGATTCCTCTGCCCACCATTACGTGTCACCCTTCCCAACTGTTATGGAAGATAGTGTCACTGCGCCGGGTTGGAGCCTGGTGTCAGCTATACCTATGTTTAAGCCCTTACTGATATGATAGCCGACTCATTATTGATTTGTTACTTAGTGGCTAACTGATGTGTAGGTTAACTAATTAGATAGTTGACTGAGTTTGACACTAAATGGATAGCTGATTTGCTAGTTGAGTGATAACTGATTTATGTGACTAGTTTAACCGTGTATTGAAGCTCTCTTCTTTCTGATGAAAGAATCGGCTTCAGTGTGCATCAGTTATTTATATATCAGTTGTACGGAGACCTAATTATATGCCCAGTAAACTGGCGTTGTTGTAACCAGTATGCTGTAACCATACTATGTCACACACTCATCATACTATGTCACACACTCATCATACTATATCACACATTCATCATACTATGTCACACACTCATCATACTATGTCACACACTCATCATACTATATCACACACTCATCATACTATGTCACACACTCATCATACTATATCACACATTCATCATACTATTTCACACACTTATTCTAATGCAATGTCTTAAAATTATTTTTATTGAGAATTTAGCTCATTCAGTTGTTTTCGTCATATTGTAAGTAATTGTACTTGATTTATACACACTGTTGTTTATCACAGTGTCAACACTTAAGTTTTAAGTGATCCATAATCAACCCCCCCCCCCCTTGTCTCCATAATCAAGTCTTTATAAACAGTTACTCACCACACCCCCAAGACAGTTACTCACCACACCCCCAAGACAGTTACTCACCCCACCCCCAAGACAGTTACTCACCCCCCCCCCAAGACAGTTACTCACCCACCCCCAAGACAGTTACTCACCACACCCCCAAGAAAGTTACTCACCCCACCCCCAAGACAGTTACTCACCCCACCCCCAAGACAGTTACTCACCACACCCCCAAGACAGTTACTCACCCCACCCCCAAGACAGTTACTCACCCCACCCCCAAGACAGTTACTCACCCCACCACTAGACAGTTACTCACCCCACCACTAGACAGCTACTCACCCCACCACTAGACAGTTACTCACCCCACCACCAAGACGGTTACTCACCCCGCCCCTAAGACAGTTACTCACCCCGCCCCTAAGACAGTTACTCACCCCGCCCCCAAGACGGTTACTCACCCCACCCCCAAGACGGTTACTCACCCCACCCCCAAGACGGTTACTCACCCCACCCCCAAGACGGTTACTCACCCCACCCCCAAGACAGTTACTCACCTCACCCCCAAGACAGTTACTCACCCCACCCCCCCCCCAAGACAGTTACTCACCCCACCCCAAGACAGTTACTCACCCCACCCCCAAGACAGTTACTCACCCCACCCCCAAGACAGTTACTCACCCCACCCCCCCAAGACAGTTACTCACCCCACCCCCCCCCCAAGACAGTTACTCAACCCACCCCCAAGACAGTTACTCACCCCACCCCCCAAGACAGTTACTCACCCCACCCCCCAAGACAGTTACTCACCCCCCCCCCAAGACAGTTACTCACCCCACCCCCAAGACGGTTACTCACCCCACCCCCAAGACAGTTACTCACCTCACCCCCAAGACAGTTACTCACCCCACCCCCCCAAGACAGTTACTCACCCCACCCCAAGACAGTTACTCACCCCACCCCCCCAAGACAGTTACTCACCCCACACCCCCAAGACAGTTACTCACCCCACCCCCCCAAGACAGTTACTCACCTCCAAGACAGTTACCCCCCCCCCAAGACAGTTACTCACCCCCCCCCAAGACAGTTACTCACCCCACCCCAAGACGTTTACTCACCCCCCCCCCAGACAGTTACTCACCCCCCCAAGACAGTTACTCACCCCACCCCCCCAAGACAGTTACTCACCCCACCCCCAAGACAGTTACTCACCCCACCTCCCCAAGACAGTTACTCATCCCACCCCCAAGACAGTTACTCACCCCACCTCCCCAAGACAGTTACTCACCCCACCCCCAAGAGAGTTACTCACCCCACCACCAGACAGTTACTCACCCCGCCACCAGACAGTTACTCACCCCGCCACCAGACAGTTACTCACCCAACCACCAGACAGCTACTCACCCCGCCACCAGACAGTTACTCACCCAACCACCAGACAGCTACTCACCCAACCACCAGACAGCTACTCACCCCGCCACCAGACAGCTACTCACCCCGCCACCAGACAGTTACTCACCCCACCACCAGACAGTTACTCACCCCACCCCCAAGACAGTTACTCACCCCACCCCCAAGACAGTTACTCACCCCACCCCCAAGACAGTTACTCACCCCACCCCCAAGACAGTTACTCACCCCACCACCAGACAGTTACTCACCCCACCCCCAAGACAGTTACTCACCCCACCACCAGACAGTTACTCACCCCACCCCCAAGACAGTTACTCACCCCACCCCCAAGACAGTTACTCACCCCACCCCCAAGACAGCTACTCACCCCACCACCAGACAGTTACTCACCCCACCCACAAGACAGTTACTCACCCCCCAAGACAGTTACTCACCCCACCACCAGACAGTTACTCACCCCACCCACAAGACAGTTACTCACCCCACCCCAAGACAGTTACTCACCCCACCCCCAAGACAGTTACTCACCCCACCCCAAGACAGTTACTCACCCCGCCACCAGACAGTTACTCACCCCGCCACCAGACAGTTACTCACCCCATCACAAGACAGTTACTCACCCCACCCCAGGCAGTTACTCACCCCGCCCCAAGACAGTTACTCACCCCACCCCAAGACAGTTACTCACCCCACCACCAGACAGTTACTCACCCCGCCACCAGACAGTTTCTCACCCCACCCACAAGACAGTTACTCACCCCACCCCAAGACAGTTACTCACCCCACCCCCAAGACAGTTACTCACCCCACCCCAAGACAGTTACTCACCCCGCCACCAGACAGTTACTCACCCCGCCACCAGACAGTTACTCACCCCATCACAAGACAGTTACTCACCACACCCCAGGCAGTTACTCACCCCGCCCCAAGACAGTTACTCACCCCACCCCAAGACAGTTACTCACCCCACCCCAAGGCAGTTACTCACCCCGCCCCCAAGACAGTTACTCACCCCACCACCAGACAGTTACTCACCCCGCCACCGGACAGTTACTCACCCCACCCCAAGACAGTTACTCACCCCACCCCCAAGACAGTTACTTAACCCACCACCAGACAGTTACTCACCCCACCACCAGACAGTTACTCACCCCACCACCAGACAGTTACTCACCCCGCCACCAGACAGTTACTCACCCCACCACCAGACAGTTACTCACCCCGCCCCCAAGACAGTTACTCACCCTACCCCCAAGACAGTTACTCACCCTACCACTAGAGTTACTCACCCCACCACTAGACAGTTACTCACCCCGCCACCAGACAGTTACTCACCCCACCACCAGACAGTTACTCACCCCACCCCAAGACAGTTACTCACCCCGCCCCCAAGACAGTTACTCACCCCGCCCCCAAGACAGTTACTCACCCCACCCCAAGACAGTTACTCACCCCACCCCCAAGACAGTTACTCACCCCGCCACCAGACAGTTACTCACCCCGCCACCAGACAGTTACTCACCCCATCACAAGACAGTTACTCACCCCACCCCAGGCAGTTACTCACCCCGCCCCCAAGACAGTTACTCACCCCACCCCAAGACAGTTACTCACCCCACCACCAGACAGTTACTCACCCCGCCACCAGACAGTTTCTCACCCCACCCACAAGACAGTTACTCACCCCACCCCAAGACAGTTACTCACCCCACCCCCAAGACAGTTACTCACCCCACCCCAAGACAGTTACTCACCCCGCCACCAGACAGTTACTCACCCCGCCACCAGACAGTTACTCACCCCATCACAAGACAGTTACTCACCACACCCCAGGCAGTTACTCACCCCGCCCCAAGACAGTTACTCACCCCACCCCAAGACAGTTACTCACCCCACCCCAAGGCAGTTACTCACCCCACCACCAGACAGTTACTCACCCCACCACCAGACAGTTACTCACCCCACCACCAGACAGTTACTCACCCCACCACAAGACAGTTACTCACCCCACCCCCAAGACAGTTACTCACCCCACCACCAGACAGTTACTCACCCCACCACCAGACAGTTACTCACCCCACCACCAGACAGTTACTCACCCCGCCACCAGACAGTTACTCACCCCACCACCAGACAGTTACTCACCCCGCCCCCAAGACAGTTACTCACCCAACCCCCAAGACAGTTACTCACCCTACCACTAGAGTTACTCACCCCACCACTAGACAGTTACTCACCCCGCCACCAGACAGTTACTCACCCCACCACCAGACAGTTACTCACCCCACCCCCAAGACAGTTACTCACCCCGCCCCCAAGACAGTTACTCACCCCACCCCCAAGACAGTTACTCACCCCACCCCAAGACAGTTACTCACCCCACCCCCAAGACAGTTACTCACCCCACCACCAGACAGTTACTCACCCCACCCCCAAGACAGTTACTCACCCCACCACCAGACAGTTACTCACCCCGCCCCCAAGACAGTTACTCACCCTACCCCCAAGACAGTTACTCACCCTACCACTAGAGTTACTCACCCCACCACTAGACAGTTACTCACCCCGCCACCAGACAGTTACTCACCCCACCACCAGACAGTTACTCACCCCACCCCCAAGACAGTTACTCACCCCGCCCCCAAGACAGTTACTCACCCCGCCCCCAAGACAGTTACTCACCCCACCCCAAGACAGTTACTCACCCCACCCCCAAGACAGTTACTCACCCCGCCCCCAAGACAGTTACTCACCCCACCCCAGGCAGTTACTCACCCCGCCCCCAAGACAGTTACTCACCCCACCCCAAGACAGTTACTCACCCCACCCCAGGCAGTTACTCACCCCGCCCCCAAGACAGTTACTCACCCCACCACCAGACAGTTACTCACCCCGCCACCAGACAGTTACTCACCCCACCCCAAGACAATTACTCACCCCGCCCCCAAGACAGTTACTCACCCCACCACTAGACAGTTACTCACCCCACCACTAGACAGTTACTCACCCCGCCACCAGACAGTTACTCACCCCGCCACCAGACAGTTACTCACCCCACCCCCAGACAGTTACTCACCCCACCCCAAGACAGTTACTCACCCCACCCCAAGACAGTTACTCACCCCACCACCAGACAGTTACTCACCCCACTACCAGACAGTTACTCACCCCACCACCAGTTACTCACCCCACTACTAGACAGATACTCACCCCACCACCAGACAGTTACTCACCCCACCACCAGACAGTTACTCACCCCACCACCAGACAGTTACTCACCCCACCACCAGACAGTTACTCACCCCACCACCAAGACAGTTACTCACCCCACCACCAGACAGTTACTCACCCCACCACCAGACAGTTACTCACCCCACCACCAGACAGTTACTCACCCCATCACTAGCCAGATACTCACCCCACCACCAGACAGTTACTCACCCCACCACCAGACAGTTACTCACCCCACCACCAGACAGTTACTCACCCCACCACCAAGACAGTTACTCACCCCACCACCAGACAGTTACTCACCCCACCACTAGACAGCTACTCACCCCACCCTAAGACAGTTACTCACCCCACCCTAAGACAGTTACTCACCCCACCACCAGACAGTTACTCACCCCACCACCAGACAGTTACTCACCCCACCCTAAGACAGTTACTCACCCCACCACCAGACAGTTACTCACCCCACCACCAGACATGGTGATTTCAGGCTTCCAGATATTGTTGTTGAGATCGTTGAAGTCATCGTTGAAGATAAGGCAGGGAAAGCTCCGGCAGCTGGCCGGATCAACAACATCTGGGAAGAACAATGTTATCTTCACTATAAGTTTTAATTACTAAAACACTTTAAATATATTTACAAATTCTAGACAATGAGAAAATCCCCCCAACGCTGTGAGGTGGGCGCGAACCTGGGACCAAGGCCATACCAACCGCATACTCTACCACTTGACCATCGTAGAGTAACGTGGTTGTTAACGCCGCAGTCGCAGGTTCTCGTGTTGTAAAGTTCATACACGAGCACATAAGGGGCGAGTAGCCATGACGGGTACGGGTAGTAATAGGGGCGCCAGTGGCCAGGCCACGAGTAATGTCGGTCAGGGTGAGAGTGGTGATAACACGGCGGCGTTGCTTACGGCGCAGGCGGCAGCGTCAGAGACAATTGGGCAGGTTGCACAGTGGTTGAAAAATGTGTTGAGCACGCATGAGACGATTAATGCAGGACCTAAGGTATATGGAGACATACCCACGTTTTGGGGCGCCAAACGGGATTCGAAAGGTCAGTTACTGACGGATATTAGAACATTTTTCTTTGCTCTAGAGAAGGCGACTAGTGTGGGGTCATAGTCGGATCAGGCAAAGATTGCATTGGCATATTCCAAGGTGAAAGGGGAAGCAAAGACCCTGCTCAACTCGGCGGAAATTAGAGAAATAAATAGTTATAGCGAGTTTAAGCAGGAACTGATAGATCATTACGATGTGCAGCACGATGCAGTAGAACTAATGGCTCAGTTAGCTGCACTTAAACGAGAACCAGGGGAACAATTAAGGGCGTTTGGCCATAGAATAAGACTCTTGGGTGATGTGATTGAGCGGACGGAAACGCAGTTCACGAGGGTAGTAAGAGATTCTATGCAACGGAGTGTTTTTTTCGGTGCATTACCGCGGGAAAGTGCGTTACACTGCAGGGAAGCTAAGTCTTTTAAGGAAGCGGTGAAACATGCAGTGTTTTGGGCGGAGAATAGCCCGACACATAAACTGACAGAGGATGACATTTTCAAAGAAGTGTCCCCTAAGGAACAGGCAAATCTTGCAGACACGCAAGAGAGACAGGCTCAGCTCTGGGCCCCAGTAGCTCAGCCAGTGGAGGATGGACCCGCGGCGGGGGTCACACATTCCAAGGGCAAGGGGCGAGGTGCTCCTCGACGTAACAATAATAAGGGCTGGGAGCCAAGGGTGTTCCAGGGACACAATACGAGTGGGGTGTCGTGGGGACCCCATCAGGGTACTCGTGGGCAGCGAGGAGGCTATAATCAAGGGGCACGTGGAGGCAGGTTCACTCCTGCTCCACCACGATACACGCCTGCTCAGGGAGCAACAGGAATGTACCACCAGAACCAGGGTACCGGTAGAGGGTATCCCCGGGGAACGGGGTACACTGCGGGTAAACACGAGCCAGAACGACCTAAGCAGACAAAAGTGTGTAAGCTGTGTGGTGACGGTAGTCACTTGGCCTGGCAGTGTAAGCTTTTTGTTCCGCCTAATTACCCAGTGTGTACAGTAGGGGGTGGCGGACAGTGGTTGTGTACCGTCGGGTCGGGTCATCCCATAAAGGTGCATTTACGGTTAAAGGGCACTATCTATACAGCCTTGGTGGACACCGGTGCTTCCGTGTCCATCATGAGTCGTAGCGTGTTAGGATCAGACGTCAGGCTGATACCTAACAACAGGAGATTAACGGCGGTGGGGGATAATGCGTTGCGGGTGTTGGGTGAGACAACTGTGGATTTCCAGCTAGAAGATAGACTTCAAAAGTGTTGTCTGTAGGCGAGCAACCAAGGCATTTGACTTGGTGAAACTACATTTAAGAAAGTCGACAGAGGTAGCAGAGGCATATTATAATGCGCGGAACAAGGTCCAAGCAAAGGTGATCAATGAAGGTGATAGGGTATTCGTGAAGCAGATGCACGCTCAGGCAGAAGGTAAGTTGGCACCCAAGTTTGTGGGGCCATGTCGGGTAATTAGCAAAAAGAATGCTGAAGTGAAGGTTAAGGTGCTAAACACAGGGCATGTGTTCTCCTGTCACCCAGACCGCGTCTATACACTGACCGGTCAGGCAAGTGAGGAGCCATACCCTACGGGGAGTGTGCCAGGGGAGAGCACACCAGCGGCTGAGAACATAGGTAGGGGTACGAGGAGTTGGCAATCAAGGGTAGATAACACAGAGCAGCCTTCGCAGGACCGAGGACAAGGTCCACAGGCGACAGTGACACATCGCTATCCGACCCGCTCTCGTGGGGTCATGAACACAGAAGGAGCATAGTATGTACTGTAGAGTAGTGCATGGGCATGGTAGTTTTTGTAGAGTGTGGGGTAGTGTGTAGAGTGTGGTGTTGAGTGGTGCATGGGCATGGTAGTTTTTGTAGAGTGTGGGGTAGTGTGTAGAGAGTGGTGTAGAGTAGCATGTGTAGTGGGTGGTGTAGTGTTGTGGCGTTTGGACGCCTGGTATGGAGTGTGGTGTTATAATGAGGTCATCAGTGGTTGGGTTGACCAGAGGTGATGGTGTGTCGGAGTGGGTAAGTCTTATGGATAAGATTATAATGTAGAATTTCAAAATTTCAGGTGTTGGTGGTTGCAGTGGACGAGCGAAGTAGATATACTAATTTCTTATTAAGTTGTTACAGGAATCTCGCTAGAGGCGAGCCAGTGGCAGTATGATGTTTTAGTGACATAAGTGTGAAATTATTTTAATGAGGTATTTATTGTGATAATGTATGTGTATGTATATACTGTATATTACCTCATCGGCACCATTACTGAGTGTTAGGCTTGAGAAGGTCCCCCGGGATCATGTCACAGAGCTTCAGGTAGAGTAGAAGGGAAGCTATGAGGCTACACTCAGTTATTCTAGAAAAAAGGGGGGTGGAAGTGAAGCCAACGTGACGTTATAGGCGAAATTCGCCCCCTGACATCAAAGCAGGGATAAGGGCCAGCTGCAATGGTTTTGCAGCTGCGCTCAGGCTATATACGGGAGAGAGTAAGGAGCCGAGGGGGTTATGTAATAATGGGATCGAGCCAGGGGGCTCCGAGGGAATATTTTGCAGGTACAGCGGTCGGGAAGGTGTGAATACAGGTGGACACACTCTGGGCGGATGGGCCTAGACCAGAGAGCTGTGAGGGATCTACAGCGTTCTGGGATTGGTGCCCTGGAACGAGACGTCAGCACAGACCCAAGGGAACATGACCCTGGGGTAGGAATCTCCGTTGCTCTGGAGGCCAGGATCACGTTACCTCAGAGCAACGATGGGACATTGACAACATTCACCAGGCTGGACAGCCTGGGTTTTGTCTGGGTCATGGAGGATCTATGACCTAGCAACCATGCTCGCCCCAACTCACAGCCCTGGTGAACCTTCTCATTGATGTATATCACGTTAGGGAGAGTTCTGTGTGAATACTAGACAATGTTGTCTACTTAATTATGAATGATATTAAAAGACAGAATGTTAGTAAATTTAAACTTTTTTGGCAGGTAGAATGTTGTTCGGTTATTGCTGGTCGATATATCACCTTGAGAGTAGCAGCCAGCATGAGGCTGGTTACTACTAAGTTCCTGAAGTTAAGGCTTCCAGTTTGCGGCTGCTCACAAAGTTGGGGCAGGTGGGGGACCTCGGGAATATTGACCATATGAATAAGTCCGCCGTCACCCCTCTAGTGTTGAATGCATTAACGTCCTCAACAGTCCAACAATAATGAATCAAGGCTGGAGACGAGTCTTCACGCACAGGTCTTCAGCTGTATCGTGGGGAGCAAGCCATCTAGCAGCGCCTTAAATGTATAAAATCAGTACAAGCTTGTGCTTCATGTAAGGTTTTGAAACCCCTTCATGAGAGTTGGAATAAGATGCGCCTTAGGGTTTGGAGATTCTTGGCAGCATTGTCGCCAGACTCAACACGAGGCTTTGCTAGATCATCCACCAGATTAACTTCTGTCCCAAAATGTTATTTACATCAGAGAGAGAGAGAGACCACAGGACGAAGACCAACATAACATCCGTTCACTCATCCTGTCGCCCAGATATTGAGAACTTATCACAAGGGAGTCAAAAGTTTTCCCAGAACGTGTAAAAATAAGCAAGCTGGTGGCAGCTTACCATGTTGACCCTCTCCCTTTCTGGCTCCTTGTCGACGTGAGGGGGCTTAGTGGGGGCTGCCGGAGTGTGATGCTCCATGGGTCAGTCCTCTGTCCTTTTGCAGCCTTATTCTCCGGCTGCTGTCTTTATCAATTTTGCCAGAACTCTTTTTTTTTTTTTTTTTTTCCTTTTCCTTGTGTTTCGTTTCCCCCCCCCCCCCTCTTCTCCTTTCTGATTGTCATTTCCTGCGAACCTTTTACCCGTTTTGATTATTCTCTTGGACTTCTTCTATTTTGACACCCGGGTATTTGAGGAGGCATACTCTTGCATCCGTTGAACTATAGTACCCGACGTCGAAAGCGAGGGGAACCTTTTATTGTCAATCCTCCTTTCATCACTGAACCCTATCTCGACGGACTCACGGTTCTTAAGGTAGCGTTTGTGGGGCGTATACTCACGACGCGCCCCTGGGGGGCCCCAGCAAGATCGGCGATAGCTTCTTGTTGGGTGTCCTACCTCTAATTATGGCTCCATGGTGGGTGTGGGGGCACATTCGTGAATGAAAGTTTTTTCCTTGTTTTCAGGCTGATAATATTTCCGTTGTTCCTTCTCAGGCTCGTGGGGTGGGCGACCAAGCCCCCAAGTCGGACTGTGTTGGAAGACCAGGCCCTGTAGCCCCCGCTGCATTGGGCCCCGACCCCCTGACTGCTCCCCTCCCTACTCTGTGGTAGGGTCGAGTTCCCAGCCCCTAGTGGTGACCACTTCGTCCCCTTGCACAGCTCTGTCTCTCATTGTGACTACTGCACCTTTTACCCCCCCCCTCTCTCTCTCTGGGGGGTTCTCAACGCCGTTCTCGCCACAGACGCACTCGCACGATCCCTTCTCGTACTAATACTTGCAACGCCTTGTTTGGTCCCGCTACGTGGGCTAAATACTTTGATCTC